GCCTGCTAACCTCTGGATTACCCTAACCCCCCCCCCCCCCCCCCCCTGGTCTCCCTCGCTCGCCCCCCTTCGCTTTGGTTCTCCCGTAAAACGATCCTTATTCCCCGCAAATACTGGAACTCTCGGAACTGCATCCGAAACCGAAATCGAACCGCCACCTGAAGAGCAAGAGCCCGGTAAGGGGAGGCATCGACGGCGACGGCGAGAACTCGCCGTTTCACGGTGGCAGGGGTCAACAAGCAAACAAACAGCCGCACCAGGGCGCAGTTCCTTCTGCATTCTTCCTGGGTTCGGCGGAGCAGCAGCAGCAGCAGCAGCAGCAGCAGCAGCAGCCGCCGCTCACGAGAAGCCTCTCGCCGACGCGCTCGGGTCGGAGGCAGTCGGCCGGAGGGGTGACCGGTATCGTGGGGTACGCCGCCGCCGCCGCCGAGGTCGCCAGCGCTACCACCACCGCCGGTGCTTCTTCCACGACAAGAGTGGGAGCGATGGCGACCGTACCACCGTTGCCTGAGGCGGAGGAGACGACAGCGGCCACCACGAAAGCGAAGCCGCCGACACCGGCGCCGCCGGCAGCGACGCTGCCCACGGTGGAAGCGGAGACGACGAAGGCGACAGGTAGGCAGAAAGCGATGGCAAAGGTTAAGGCCAAGCAGCAGGAGGAAGAGGCGGCGGCGGCGGCGGCGGCGGCGGCGGCGGAGCCAGCGGCCCAGGAGGCTGTGCCGCCGCTCGCGCACATGAACCGCGCCGAGCGGAAGAGCCGGCAGGCGGTGGAAAAGCTCGGGCTGCGCGCCGTGAAGGGGGTTTTCCGGATGACCATGCGGACGACAAACGGCGTCGTTTTCGTCGTGAAGGCGCCCGACGTGTTCAGGCACCCGCGACAGGTGTGTGTGTGTGTGTTCGTGGATGCAGTACGTACATACGTGAGCAGCAGCGTGTGTGACAAATTTTCCTCCAGTTGGTGAGATCTTCCTCCTGCGAAAAGGGTAGTAAAGCGGTGCTACTTACCGTTATCAAAAGGGGGATAGACGGCGCCTGTCTGTGCCCAAGTGAATCAAGGTCTGTCGCTGATGGTACACATCTTGGGTGTTCTCGCCGCCATGTAAAAAGGCGCACGCTTTGTGTCATGTTCCGGTTTCAGGCGAATCGATGGCACCGGTCGTGTTGCATCCGCACGCGTCGCACCACTGTCCCCTCCGTCAACCCCACGCTCTTGTTCCCCCCCTCCCATGTGTCCGCGCGGCCTCGTCTGTCCAGGAAACCTACGTGGTGTTTGGGTCGGCGGAAACGGACGGATCCGGCAGCGAAGTTCGTGCTTCACGCCCACCCCGGAGTTTTGTCCCGCCGCCAAAGGTGAGAGTCCCCCCTTCTGCCGTTTTCTCTCATGGTGCCATTGTTGGTGCATGGTGGCTCCCAAGGCGTGGAGGCGCTGCTGTGGTGTGTCTCTCGAGTCGACTGCACTCTACTATTATGGTGTGCGTATTTCTCCGCATGACGCCTCCCCCCCGCCCGCCCGTCCAGTACGATCCGTAACCCCCCCCCACCCTGGTCAGTTGAGAACCCGTCGTGCTCCGTCACGGCTTTGTAGGGATGCGAGGTTAGTGGTCTAACGACTACGGCATGCACGACTATGTGTACCCCCCCTCCACCCTCTGGTTTTCTCTCTCTAGCGGCAGGGAGACGTGGCACCGAATAGAACCCCTCTCACAATGAGCTTCAGTACCCCCCCCCTTTGCCATTTTCTCACCGTGCACCCCTCGTGTCGCCGCCACCACACCCCATTTTCCGACGCCGGTGACATACATATGCGAAGAAGGCCGCGGCGGTCGTGCCGGCTTCTCGTCCCGACCCGCTGGCTGTGGAGAGCGACTCCATCTCGGCGGGACTGGATCCCGCGGATGTCCTGACCCTCGTCTCGCAAGTCGGTTGCGACTCCCAAGCGGCGATCGTCGCCCTGCGGCAGGCGGACGGGGACGTGATCAACGCCGTCCTGGACCTCACGTTTGCTTCTTCTGGTGGTGGTGGTGGTGGTGGTAGTGCTTCTTGTTCTTGGTGACGAAAAAAAACAAGGGCCAAGCACCTTGGGGAAGCCTGCTGCTGCTGCTGATGTTCCGTGGGGGCGAACAAGAGAGCTGTTGTTTCGATTTTCGTGCGGGTCTCGTAGCAGTGATGGTCGATGCCGTCTGCTGGCCACCTCACGGGCTCTGCTGGTGCTCCTGGTGCTCCTGGTGGGGAGTTTTAAGGCCCGATCTTCATGCCTCCGCCTTAGCACTAATAGGTGGGGGTGGTGGCCATGTGCTTTCCGGGACGCTGCCTGTTCGCACGCGACAACTGAGTCCGGCATCTTCAGACCTCAACACGGCCAACGCGCCACCAGAGATGACGGGCGGCCGCCGGCTGCTGCCGCTGATGCACGGGTGGTGCCCTTGACCTTGTCCACCACGTAACGCCTCGGCATCTTCGACAGAAGTCGTTAGCCCTCGGTCAACTGTAGGCAGCGAGCGGGCGTGGCGTTGCTGCTTCGTCGGATGCGTACTTGACGGATGAAAACACACGCATGCACGCTTCACATGTGTCCAAACTCCATGTTTGTGAAAAAAGGAACCTTGATACACTCCATACGTATCTACTTCTTTGTGAAAAGGGACCTTCATGGAAGATTTAAGGGTGGGGGGCGGAGGTATATATGATTCATGTCGGGGGCAGAGGCCGGGGCGGGCGGCCTTGAAGCGCAAGACGTCGTGCATCCATGTTTTGGTGTTGTTGCTGCTTTGCGGAAGGCCCGCTAGTTGGGACTTCGCACCATACCGATATGGAACTCTCGTGTGGGCGTTGGAGTAATTTACAGTTTAGAGATGACACAACAACCGAAATATCGCAACACCTGTAGACGTTTTGCTGTCTCCTGCTCGCGCCGCTAGGCCAGGGGCCGCCCGGAGCCGTGCATCCGAAACATGTGAGCGACGAGCTCCGTTTTTTTTTTTTTTCAGTTGTGTGGTCGTGTGGTTGTGCCACGGTGAGGGGTAGGTTGCCTCTTAGGTGGAATTGGGATTGTCGCAGGTAAAGCAGTGGCATAGGGACGGCGAGAATTCCGCTTTCGTTCTCTTGTAACACATCGTACATACTGTAACACATATAACGCAAATGTAAACTGTTTTAGTTGTTTGTACTTAGCAAAGACAGGGAAGTTGGGTGTCAAAATATAATAATATTGTTTGCTGTGTTGCTGGCGAAGCAGGGGGTGCGATAGAGACAGATACCAGTCTTCGATTGGTCGAGTGGCACGCGCGTGCTCGATTTTCCTCGCTCTGCGCACGCCGGCAGTTAGTTAGCTGTTGTTTCCTTGCAGCTGTTCGTCGTGACTTTTGTTTGTTTTTATGCGTGGTGCGGAAATAAATTTTGTGCAGTCTAGGAGGCAAAGTGCTTTGTTACTCGTTTTTCTTCTCTTGTCTCTGTTGTCAAGTGTCGTACAAGTTACATTGGTGGTAATGCTGAACTGGACAGCATCCGTACGGGAAGGAGAGGGAAATGAACTATCAAAAATTGCCCATTTACAGAAACAGCAGTCTTTAGGTTGCACATTGATGGAGAAGATGTACTGCTCGTCGTGTTTTACTTGTGCTTTGTTTCCCGGCATTTTTTATTTGGAAATGCATTGCTACCTGGCCGCGTCGCGTAGAAAAGGACGTCGGAAAGGAGACGGTTGTGATCGTTTGATGAGGCACACCGAGTTAGGCGGCTAGTGATTAAATGCAGTTTTATTTTTTTTGCGCAAATTCGAAACGATATTGTCGAATGCGAGACAACAACTCGACAGGGCAAGGATGGTACAGCAGTTCGGTTAGGTGGTGGTAGGGCAGGGCCCAACCTCATTGGTTGGGGAAGGTACCTGGCGCAGGATTGCCTGACGCGTGGCGTAGAGGTGCAACATACAATAGTTGGTGGTGGTCTTACACGGCAGTGGTGCTAGCGCGTACACCAGTTGATGCTCACCTGTTTGGGGCAGCATGATGTGTGTTTCACGTACTAGTCGGTTGACTAAAAGTCGCGGGTGCAGTTAGGGGTCCGGTGGCGTGAAGTCTCGAAGACGGTGGTACACACTCACAACACTGGTGGAGGGTAATCGTCTACAGTTGCCGATTACAGCTACAGAGTGTTTGACAATGTGTTGTTTTCGCTTTTTTTTTTTCACTGTCACCTTCTTTGCGGTATAGTTTGGGCAGGTACGTTTGTTCGGCGATGGTGGTTTATGTTTTCATTTTAATTTTGATTTTCACAGTATAGTCTAGGCAGGCACGCTTGGCGACGTTTCGACGTGACTGGTGCCAAGGGGTCTCTCGTTGGGGTGTGCATGTATGTGAGGTTTTCGGAGTTTCCACTCTTTCTTTTCCCTATGGGTTAGAGGTGTGGTCTGAACATAATGTTGTATGTTGTTACGGAAAAATCTGATTTGATGCCAAAGCGGCTGGGTCATGGTGTTACAAGCGAAGAGGGACCACGCACGCCGGCAAAACGTCGTCGGGCCTCTTATGTGGCGCAAGCGCACAAACGGCGTGCCTCCGAACAGGCATGCTTTGGCGAAAACGCTGTATTTTCTTGGCGGGCACCCGAAAGATAACACATCAGTTCGAAGTTATTGTGATATTTAATACGGGATTTCTGAGGGTGGCGTAGTAGACGAATCGCTCGCGTGGGCAGGACGTTTGCGTTGGTGTCTCTGGAAACAACTGTATGCGAGGGAAACGGAAACAAACGCGGATGTTAAACCATGTCATGTGTTAATTGTGCACATTCAAGGGTGGAAGCTTTCGATGGTCAAGCAAGGAAAGGCTTGGGGGGTGTGAAGTAGGAAGGGAGGCCAAAACTGGGGCACCGCATGTATGTTCGGCGTTCGGCGTAGCATATCAACACCGCGACCGGCAAACTAACGTGGCTGCAGGTACGATTGCTCTAAACTCCACAACAGCGCGACAAACACCTCGGCCTCGCAAGGCGGCGCTGGAAAATTCTACAGGAGATTTTTTCCAGAGAGTTGTGGCGTGCACATGATGCTCCCTGTTATGGGGTTATTATCGGCGTCATCTATATCCATGTGGGGGTATTCCTAGAGAGCTGCGCACATTTATTAACATACATGTGGTTGACATGTACGGACGGATAGTGCAGGGTGAGAGGCGTGAAGAAACAAAGAGAGGTGGCGCCAAGATCAGACAGACATCCGATACCGCAACAAGACACGCGGCATCCAACGCGATTGCGCGTGTGGACGTGTCTGGGCGCACAGCAGCGACTATTCGTCGGGCAGAGTCAACGAAAAAACGAAAGGCGTCCTGCCGAACAAAGAAAAACAAGCACTGCCGTTCATTGTGTGGAAGAAGTGCTTCGTGCCAAGACGTGGGTGGACCAAGCTAGCTTCGCGGTTGTTGTTGTTGTTGTTGTTGTTGTTGTTGTCTTCACAATAAAACCGCTCCGGTCTCCGCCCAGTACCTTCTAATGTCCGTACTATACTATACTATACTATACTATACTAAAACAGTCCAACTGACGCGGACGCCTTCCGTGGTCACAAGCTAACTGCCCGGGGGTACACCTTTTGAAAAACTGAAAACTGGACACCAGAAAAATTCCTCCCATCCCATCCGCGATTTTTTTTTTCTACCCAAACGAAACGAAATAAAGGAAACAACTAAGGAAGAAGGTTCCTACCCGGGGTACAGGCGATCGACCCCGGTCAAAAAAGGGATGAAGGAGCGAACTACAACGAAAGAGAGAAAAAGAAACAGGGAAAAGAAAGAGAGAGAGAGAAAGACAGCGGAAATAAAGGGAATATAGATCGGAGGTTCCCTCGAAACGCTCCATCCATTCTACTACCGGAGCAACAACGAAAAATGGGCAATTACTAACAACGTGGCACCAAACAGGCGATGACTGACTTCCAACGACACAACATCACTTCGGGGGCACAGCGAGAGGGGGGGTTAGCAACACGATGGGACAGCCAACTCCGTCCTGCTCTCTCCGGCTACAGTTGTGTCTTCTGTCTTTCGACGTCTCCCCCCCTTGTTCCTTTCCCCCCCTGCTCTGCTGTCCGTTTGATCGTCTGCCTGGTGTTTTTCTTCTTCCGTTCCTCCGCCGATAGTTTGCTTTGAATCTCTTACTCCTTGTGCCATTTGACCATGAACTTCTCCGCTCCCCCCATCACCCCTTTGTACCACGGCACCCCTTTTTCCACCTTCGTTGCGATAGGCCAGCAGCCTCGCGGTATTCCGAACGTCCTCCGGTCGTCAGCCGTGGATTCGGCACTGACCCCGATCTACGAAATCGTCCTTCAAGCATAACAGCCAATTATTTTCCGGACGCCCGCTCTCTGGGTCCTTCCCCCCCACGATATCTCCGAACAGCAGTCGCTTCGGGAGTCGCCCGTCCGGTTGTCTAGCCAATGCTCCAGCAAACAGTAGTCGCCTCTGTCGGACAGTCGCCTCCACGCTTTGGCATCCGACCTTTTGTAGGGCTTGGGCGTACGAGAGCTGGCGGTATTGGCCGCGCGTGCGGCGGTAGCCGGTAACCCGTAGCAGAAGGCGGTGGTGCGTAGTCTTCAGAATGTCGTAGTGCTTGCGGCGCGGGGCCCACGTCATACATCCGTAAAGTAGGGCCTCCATCGCTTCCGCTTTCAAGGAGCCGGACCTTTAGTCCCCACTGTGCTGCCGGTCTGTCGAACAGCTCCCGGGCGTACTTCCGGAGGCAAGCCCACGCTGCTCTGATCCGTTGGTTGATCTCGTGCGTGAGCTCAGCATCTTCTCTGATCCGGCTACCTAGGTACCGGAACTCCGCTGTCTGGGCGTACTTCTGTTCCGCTGCTTCGATCACCAGCGGTACCGTAGGTGGTGGCGGTGGCGGTGGCGCTCCCTTCTTCGGTTTCTTCTCCGGCACCTTCATCAGGAGAGTCTCTGTTTTTTTCTCCGACACTGTAAGTTCGAATGCTCCAAACACTTCAACGATAATGGTCATCATCCTCGCCAGGCCTTCGGCCGATCTCGATACGAACCCAGCGTAGTCGGGTACAGCATACCCCACACCGCCCTCCGGACTCGTTCCAGCGGTGTCGTTGCCCTCGTCCCGGCCTCCTCCTCGAGGTATACCAGGTCCCGAAGGATAACGTCGTCTTCGCTGAATCGTACCAGAACTACCTCGAGCACTGCCGTCCCGAAGATGTTAAACAGCAGTGGAGGCAGTACACATCCTTGTCGCAGTCCCTGGGTGACCTGTAACCATTCAGAGCGCTCTCCATTGTCCATGCGTACCCGAGCTCGATGCCCTCGTGGAACTGGCGGATGACCGCGATCATTTCCTCCGGGATCCCCGCTCGGGCCAGCACCCGCCGCAGTAGCTCCCGGTCGACTGAGTCATATGCCTTCTGGAGATCGACGAAGCACATGTACAGCGGGATACTCCGTCTCCTTGCCAGCTCCTGCAGTGGTCGTACGACGAACAGCATGTCGAATGTTGACCTGCCAGGTCGGAAGCCGCACTGCTCTTCCGGCAAGATATTGTGTTTTACTCGCAGTAGTCACTGAAGCGGTTAGCGACGATTTTGAGGAGCAGCTTGCCCGCATGCGACAGGAGGGACATTCCCCTGTAGTTGTTCAGTTGGATCGGTCCGATTTCTTGTAGAGTACCTTGATGGTGGCATATTTCCATTCTTGCGGGACCTCCCTCCCGTTCCACACTTTGACGAGGATGTCGTGGAAGTCTTTGATCACGATGGGGTCGTCTACGTCGTCGATGTTGAGTAGTTCTACCGGCAGGGAATCATGACCAGGCGCTCCAGTTTTTCATCCCCCGTGCTGCTCTCCGGGTCTCCTCCAGGGTTGGCGCGGACCCCAGGCGTTGCGAGCCATCGGTGGTTAGTACCTTCGGTCGTTGTTTTGTTGTTTTACCTCCTCGATGATGGATGGGTTCAACGTGGGAGATTTAGCGTTGAGTAGAGAACCAAAGAACCTCGCCCACCGTTGGAGAATATCACCCTTGTTCCTCAGCATGATACCATTATCATCTTTGACGGGTTGCTGTCCCCCTGTCTGCCTCCCGTCTAGTCCTACCGAGCTCTTAAGGTGTTTATACAGCCCCCGCATGTCACGATCCTCAAGGATGGATTCCAGTCTAGCCACATACTTCTCGAGGTGGGCGTAGATGCCGTCATCGACTGCTGTGCGTACTGCCTTGCAAGCGGTCCGGAGTGCTTTCCATGTTGCTGGGTTCCGGTCGGTTTTCATCTCCAGATGTGCCTTCCTTCGCTCAGCAAGGGCTGCCTCGACTGCTGTTCTCGTTTCCGGGCTCTGGCATCACTCCGGCATACATGGTATCCGGGTCTCCGCGGGCAGTACTGATTGCGCTGCCTCAAGGATAGCTTGGGTGAATTCCCTCGCGGTTTCCGTGGCGCTCAGGTTGGGCTGGTCTGTTAACTGGTCAAAGTTTTCAAGGAACTTATCGATCACCCTGTACCTCTGTTACTTCCTTCTGCAGAGCTTTGCGACTGAAGTGCTGTTGTTTCGGCTTGTCCCGCACGGCGCGGTTGTTGGCGTTCCGGATACCGATGGGATCAACAGTAGCCACTACCATGTTGTGATCGGAGTCCGGTTTGATCGGGGGGGTGGGTTGGGGGTGTACAACTACGTTGCGTACGCGACGTCGGTGTGCCTGCCGCGTGAGGATGTAGTCTATACGCTTGAAGTCGCCCACCCTTGTGCCCTCGGCGCCGTTGAAGGTGTGTGATATTCCGCCTTTACGCGTACTGAAGAAGGTGTTGGTGATGACGAGTTTGTTGTCTATCGCGAAGGTCAGCAGTCGTTTGCCGTTGTCGTTCAGCTCAAATCACGACCATAAGGGCCAAGGACCCTCTCCTCCTCCGTGTTCCTCCCTCCGTTCTCTTCCGCGTTCGTGCATTGGCATCCATCATCACATACAAACATTCTTTCGCCGGGATCCGCCGTATGAGGTTATCGAGCTCGTCCCAGAACCTACGATTTTCTTCATGGACCGCGACCTCTGTCGGTGCGTGGGCAGTTACGAAATTCACCGCTCCACTCTTCTCGTTCTGCCCCTCAAACCGCATGGCCATGAGGCGGTCGCTGGTACCGTAGTCGATCGTGTAAGTGGAGTTGCGACACATCGACTCTTCCACTGTTAACCCCACCACAAGTGTCGCACCTTTCTCGCTCCCATGACAGAAAACCCTAAATCCTGCTGCTGTAAACTCAGTTTGCCCTCGCCCCCTTGTCTCTTGCATTCCCACCACGGCGATACCTAGTTGCGCCGCTTCGTAGAGCACACTATAGTCTCGGCCGTATCCGTTGGCTCCCTTTACAGCCAGAGTCCGACCACTGTAGGTAGCTACCCGTACAAGTTTACTCCGCTGTCTCGCTCGGGTCTCATGTGCTGCTCTCCTATCAAGCCTACGCCCCGCCCGGCTCGTTGGCAGGGTTTATTGCTTCAAAAAGTGGCTTCCATTCTTTAGCAACAACTGCTGTCTGCTGTCGTAAGTCGATGGGGGCACGGAAAAGGGTGAATCAATGATGATGCTTTCAAGATGAAGTCATGGGTTGTGAGATGGCTTCGGATGGAGGGACTCTCAATTGGGGGTACATCATGACATCTTCAGCACGATAGTGCGCCGTTGACAACGATCGATTGTGGATGACAACCGACATATTTTCCTCTGCGGTGGAAGATACAAAACTTTTTTTTTCGCACATTTTTTGTGCACTTCACAACAACCATCATATCAACAGATGATCATCAATCGAGAGGAACACCGAGAGGAGCGGCTGCTGCGTACTTGTACTTCTGTAGTATGCATCCTGGCATGCATATACATGTAGACAACATAGGCGGACCGGTGGACGGTGTGCATGGTCGCACGGGCTGCCCGTCCTGGAGTCGTGTGCGTTCGGCCTTTCTGCGGCCTCCGAGGACGAACCACAACGCCCGGTTGATCGGCAACATGGGAAGCGCAAGAACCGCCTCTTTTTGGTTCTGCCTGCCCCAAAGTTTCCCTTCGCTCCCCGTCTCCTCGCTCCTCGCTCCCACATACATCCCACATCCCGCATTCCACATCTCACATCTCATTGTCAGCACACAACTCTGGCACATCCAACCGTGAACCGTACAATGGACGAATTGATGGAGGACTTCGTTAACGGAGTCAAGCAAGTCTGGGCGTGGTGAGAGACTTATGTGTGTACTGTAGTGCATACTGAACCCGTCCGTCATGATATGGATACTCCGGATTGACTGCTGTTGTAGCCTTTCATAGTCTCCTGGTTTTTCTCATGTCGCGCCTTTGGCTTTCAGACTACCTGCTGAAATATACTGCTTTGGTACAGTTTCTACCTCGTCGTCATCCTAGCTCTCAGCAGAGAGGGAGCCAAGCTCTAGAGACGAGTTGAGAATTCGCCTGACCGAAGGGAAGTCAGTGCCTGTACAGCAGTAGGCATCCATCCCTCCTTGTCGCATCATGGGCGAGAGGCTTCGGGTGATTTGTTGGATTTCTAATCTGTCAGTTTTAGACTATGGCAGTACAGGTAGAGAGAGTGTGAAATAGGCCGAGAAGCGAACACAAAGCAGCAACAAAATGGCAGCGGGATCGTTCGACAGAGAACCTCACATCAACAGTGCATCCTAATGAGAACCGCCGGCGAGCTAGCTACGTAGCGAGAGACACGGCAGCGGGGGCGTGTACCACAACTACTGCTGCTGCTGCTGCTGCTGCTGCTGCTGCTGCTGCTGCTACTGCTGCTGCTGCTGCTGCTGCTGCTGCTGCTGCTGCTGCTGCTGCTGCTGTGGTACAACTGCAGACTATGTATACGAGAATCGGCAGAACAATTTCAAGAATCATCATTGCAACCTAGCTCTCTCGCCTCTCGCTCGGTCTCTCACGCCGCATCGCAGGGTTTCGAACCCATTCGAGCTATGCTGCTGCCCTGGAGGTCGGGCGGACGACGACGACGACAACGGAAAGGTGAGGATATATAGACTACAGATCTCTGTCGTCCGGCGACGGAAAGCATGGACAAGTGTGCATGTGGCGCGTCTATCGTTGCCTTTTTTTTGCCATATTCTGTGGATGAATATATATTTGTTGAGCAATTCATTGTGAAAGAACAGTGTTCTGGCATCGACAACACTCTCGGTAAAACACACCGAGCAGGCTAAAATAGCTCCCGCTGTCGGTAGAGTGCGTCGAGCAGGGTAGAAGAGTGCTCCCGCCCGCGCTACTGGTCCTCACCGCGCGCACGACGGGCACAGCGGCACACACGGGTGTTGCTTTCAGGGCGTCGCCGTGGCCGTCGGCGCCGTGATCGTTGTCACAGGGTCGTCATCGTCTTTGTCAAGTCTATTTGATGCGGCGCGAACTCGTGCGTGTGTGTTTGTGTCGCCTGTTTTCTCTGAAAGTTTGCATTTGTTTGTCTTGCCTCTGTAATTTTATATGGTTGTATCCGGCTGCTTCCTGGCGCGACTACAGCAGTACACTAAATAGTCGTGGGTGTCCCCTGTGTTTGACAGGTGATGTGGTGGACGGTTGGTGAAGGCGAGGCGCAGATGTATCACGGTGCATAATTTTAGAACTGTTCCTGCATGTTTTTCGAAACATATCCCCCCCCTCCGCTTTCACACCACTCTCCATGTGATTCCGCCCCTTTTCCCGCGATTTCAGGGGGGCCCTGAGCCTAACACCACCATGAATTCACCGTGTATTCGGACATCTCTCTCCCTTCTCTACCCGCTGCTTCCCGCCGAACTCTCTTGCTTCATTTCCGCGGGAACAACACCAACGCACGCGCCCACAAACACATCAAGGGTGGCGACGAGGAAGGCGACATCGATCTGTGGCACAAGGACAACAATGGGGGAACCACCTGCGTCACCACGCCAGCGGAGGGTCGAGTGGTTGTGCACGGAGGCCTCACGAAGAAGAACGGAAAGACCGGCCGCCTTACCGCCGAGGTGAGACGGCAACACTATGTAGCAGGGCGGCGCATTGGTTTTTTTCTTGGGGTAGCTTGGGCGAACCTCTTCCAGAAGCTGTGGCACGGTGTGCTTCTCGTAGTGTAGAGTCTATGGACCTTGTCGAAACAGGTGATGGTGGTCTGGTGTCTTAGTGTGGCCGAGGGGGTGCATGTTTTGTTGATGTTTTCGTAAATTTCCCATATACATCTCCCCCCGAAACCCAAGCAATAAAATTCAACGGCATGAGATACTGGCACGAAGTAACCAGGTAAGTCTTCAATTCCATCTCTTCGGATATGATCATCTCATCTTTCGCGTCGGTGTTGTTTGGGACGAGTGGGGCAGAGAAAACATTCTCCCCGAAGTATCTATCGCATATATATGTACTCAACAGCCACACCTCTATCCTGCCTCCACCCGCTCCTCTCCATCAGGCGCTGAGAAGTCTCAACCCTGCCGGTCTCTCGGAATGCGGCGGGCGCCGCCCCGCCGCTAGCCACAGCAGCGGCGAGACCCTCGACAACAGCAGCCAGCACAGCAGCCACAGCAGCAGCAACAACGCGGTCGGTATTAGAACCAGGAGAAACGGCAGGGGTGACGTCGGTAAGCGCCCCAGTCGCGGGGTTCAGTTCTCTTCTGGCGTTGACGTTATCGCCGAGTGGGACCGACACTTGGCCAGAGTGAAGCGCGACGACGACGCGGAGGACTGCCGGGGCCGCGCGACGATCACGCTCGGTGGAGACGACATCGTGTCCGTGGCGGAGGACCATGTCACGGGCCCCCGCAGATCGTTCGCGCAGGCCCCGTGTTCGCTCAGTCGTGCGGCTCGCTTCGCGATGGGAGACAGCGGCGGCGGCGGTGGCGGCAATGGCACGATCGGCCGCGGGGGCAAGGGCGTCGGCCTCAAAGGAGACGGCCAACCGCTGATGTACGGTATGAAGGACATCGTTGCCTCCGGCCGCCGGGGCACCAAGGGTATCAAGGGCAGCGGCGCCGGGCTCTGGAAAGAGGCGGAGGACGAGGAGGAGGACGAGGCCATCCCCACTCTGCTCGACAGGTACGACGGCAGCCTAGCGAGCCTCAAGAGCCTTGTGTTCCCCCCAAGCATCACTGACCGGCCGGTCAAGAGGCTGTTCGACGCCACGGTGCTTGCATCCACCTCGTCGGCAAAGTCGATGACCTCCACGGAGCTGGACGTCATCTTCGGTCGCCTCAGCGGATGGAAGAACGGGGGCGGCAGCCGGAGGAGGTCGAGGAGGGCCACCAGGACGAGGAAGAACGCGGGGTACGGCGACGACGGGGACAAATCGAGCTGTGGCGCCACCTGCCGGGAGGAGGGGAAGCTGGGCAGGGGGTCACCGGACAATTCTGCGCTTAGGGCGGAGCTGTTCGCCCTCGCCAAGGGCGAGCGCCGGGAGTCCCTTCTGTTCAAGAGGGCGTTCTTGAACGCGGAGGGGGGCAGCGCCTTTTCACGCCAGTAGAGCGGCCAAAGCGTGCCTGTAGTGGTGCGTGTGGGTTTAAGCACCCCGTTGTTGAAGTAGGCTATGCACTGTAGAAAGTCATGTTTCTTGTTCGCGGTGTACTTACGGCTCCCTCTACCTGTTCGAATCGCCACTCAGCGCGACGCAGGTTTTACTTTACACCAGAGCGTTTTACGTATGACAGGATTGTTTTTGCTTTTGTCCTCTGTAAGGTCTGGAAATGAATCAGGCGTGTGAAAGCATGCGTATCGCAAAAGCACGCCGTTCAACAGCGCGCTGTGGAACGTCATGTTGCACAATCACAGTGTACTTACGTCTCCTTCTGTCCCCGTTTAAATCTCCACTCAGGGCGACGCAGTTTTCTCTGTACCACGGAGCGTTATACGTATGACAGGGTAGCCTTAGCTATTGTTCTCTGTGAAGTCTGGAGAACCAGGCGTGTGAACGAAAGCGTGTCGTTGTAGCACGCCACTTTGAAGAGTACGCGCTCTACTGTCGTGTTTCTTTTTCGTAGTGTACTTACGGCTCTCTCTACCCCAACATGCGGACCCGGCATCGAGGGCAGCTATCGGGGTACATACTGTAACTTGAATTGGGGGGAATTGGCGTTGATTGTTGTTGTTGCCCTCCTACTGTAGATCTGTAATAGGTAGGTCAAGTTGGGGAGGATTTGACGGGTGGAAGCTACTTACACGGTCCACGATGAGTTTAGCCTGTCCCCGTTTGTGTATGGCGTTGGCACGGGGTGCACCAAGTGGCTGCAAGAGCTGGTGGTGAAATTACGGTGGCGGTGTGGTGTGTATTAGGTTGCACACGCATGAGTTTGGTGTGTTCAGGACGGCCACAAGTTTGAATTTTGTTTGCTTTAATGGGACACAACGTTTTCGGAAGAGACTGCAGTTTTTTCAACAGGAGTGCTCATGGTTTCAGTTGGTCTGTTGTTGTCGTTGTTCCCAGTGCTCCGATTGCTCGGGCGATGGTTTGATTCCCTTCGCTCACTCGCGATGGGAGTCGCTGCCACCGCCGCGTGGATAGGACGTCGTGGTTTTGGGTTTACATGCTAGCATCTCTGTCTGGTGATTGGCGATGGGGTCTGTCTTCAACGCCATGGTGTAAGTACTACATTCCGAAGCTTCACCCCGATGTGCGACTTTGCCTCCCTCCGGGTTCTACAGACGTCTGTATACCGAGGAAACATACGTCCCTTGGCCATCAAGGAAACCTGTAATCTGCATTGAGTGTTTCCCCCCAATGTTGCGGTCGTGTTGGTCGTTTGCGGGTGATCTAAAAGGTGGAACTTGCTCAGAAGACTGTAACGGTCGTCGGCGCCCTTGTGTTAACGCCTGTTTCCTTCAAACAAGCGTGCCAGGCGAAGATCTTGCGCGTTGCTCGTCTTCTTCTCTGAAGACATTATGAGGTGGCCATGAAGCACCACTGGAAACACCATTTGTTCCTGTTGGGCGATTTGAATTTTTCCTTTCTGAAGGCTCTCCCGCGGCGCTGCCCCGCTGAAGAAACGGGCAGGGTATACGCGGAGGGTGGCAAGGACGACATAGTAATGCACGCTATACAGTGCTTCTGGCCTGGTTGGAGATACACAAAAGCGACGCTTTAATTGGTAGTTCGTGCGCTTTTCACGAAGGGCGGCCTGTGGGGGGATGAGTAGTGATGGTTGAACCAACACACCAAACAAATTAGCCTGTTTGTATTGCGCGAAGCATGTACTGTAACCACACCCGCGACCCGATCGCACGACCACCACCTGCGGAGGAAGGGGGCACGACAATTGAAATGAGGCGTTTTTTCCTCGTCCTAGTTCTTCGATTTCTATACATGTAGTGTCTATTCATCGCCACCCAATACGTCGACTTCGCCTGAGAACTACGAGGGAGACCAGCTTCGACGAAGTCTGCTGTATCCGGCCGACTCAAGCTCGAGACAGGTGGACAACATTTAGTTCGGGTTTTATACAACCGTCAGTGTGGCCGATGCCTTACTATTGTTGTTGCCTGCTTGCTTCGCCGAACCTTCTTCCTTCCTGGGATGGTACGCTCCACCTCATCTAGTCTATTCTACCGAATGAACTGCGGCGTATCGACACATCTCCGGCACAATCCTCTGGTGGCAGTCCCTCTCTCGTTATACACCGTCTGACCTCTGCTCTTTCCCACTTGTGGCGGCCGGCCATGTACCACACCGTAGATCGACTACGCGGGCGCAATGAACGGCGGTCAATTTACCTCTCACCCGAACAACTTTAGAGGGGGAAGCCGAGAAATCCATACTATTAATACTCCGAAATATTATGGCAGTGTCGCAGCGGTTGTGCTTTGGAGAGCGACGAATATACATCGAAAGTGCTACATAATAATGTAGATGCGACACCGGTGTCATCTATGCTTATTGTGACGACACCCCTCGAAGAAACCTCTTCGAAACCACCTCCTCGGCCAGATCCCCAACGGTCTGAGGTATCACGTAAGCCATGATTGAGCCCATGGCGGCAAGCCATCATTGAGCCCAAGGTGGCCGGTTGATGCCGAGATGTTCACGCCCCCAATCGAGGTCATAGCAGCTATCAACACAGCAACAAGACACACGGGGTCGCGAACACGTTCCGCGTGTGTGAAAAGTGTTAGAGCACAGCGCAGCGATCATTCGTCAGGAGACTCGACGAAAGGCGTCGTGCCGCACAACAAAAGAAAAAATCGCCGGCCAATGTTGTGTACAAGTGCTTCGTGCGCAAGACGTGGATGGACCCAGCTAGCTTCGCGGTGGCGGGGGATTTATTGCTCCAGACGGGGCTTCCTTTCTTGCCGATCAGCCACTGTCATAGGTCGATCGCCGCACGGAAAGGCATCAACAGCCCTAGATGAAGTCATCATTTGGTTGTGAGATCAATTCGTGTGGGGGTTTAATGATCACTTTCAGCACGACGGTGCACCCTCGAGATGAATGATTGTGTGGATGACGAACCTAACTAACTGTTTACCGCGCGATGGAAGATAGAAGAGCAACTTCCATCTGCTGTACCTTTTTCGTTCTTATAGAAAGGTGTACCCCTCTTTGGGGTAGTTGGCTTGTCACCACGGAAGGCCTCCGCATCAGTTGGACCAGTACCGACATTAGAAGGTACTGGGCGGAGACCACAAAGGTTTTTGATGCGAAGACGACAACAACAACAGCCGTCGGTACTTGGCTACAACAAGTAGGAGAGGCAAACGCACCATGTATGTCCACAGACGTTCATCGAGAGGAACGTCAAGAGGATTACCGCTGCTGCGTACTTGTCCTCCCCTCCCTTCGACGTTGGCTGCTGCCGAATGCTGTCGACACGCGAGACCATTTTTTAACGGTACAACCTTCGGTCTACCAAGAGCTCGGTAGGCCTACCTACAGCAGTACCTAGTGAACCCACCCGCGTGCTAACGTTGGCGCCTCGCATCAAGCCCCCGTGTCTCATCTATGGTGGGATGGGAAAAAAGCACCATTTTGTCCCGACTAAGGCGTTCGCTAAACATCGGTGCTAGCCTAAAAGACCCTACACTCGGGCCTCACCATGTTACACCGCCCCCGGCCGGCGTACCAATCATGGCGCCCGTCATTGTTACGCGCGAATTACCATAAACGATTCCCCCTTCCCCCCACGAACACGTCCATTCGAGGGGCTTGGGTCGTATCGAAAAATCTAAAAAACAGCAGAAAAAAAAACACTAAACAAAAAAAAATAATGGCACACGCCACGAGACGCACACGTCTCCAACCAACCGTCACCGACGCGCGGCCGGTTCGTGCATGTACAGCCTTCCCCTACCCCTCCACGAACACCTCGTAAGGGCAGGACGGGACGTAGACCGACCCGGTCAGCGCGTCCCTGAGGCAGAGGCTCGACAGCCGGGCCAGGCCCGCCCTCGCCGCCGTGAGCCTGACCGTCGCCCCGTGCTCCGCGCCCCTCTCCAGCCGCCCGAGGGGCACCGCAGCGTCCACCGGCAGGAGGTCCCCGAGGAGGCACGTCGGCGCTGCCGCCGCCGCCGCCGCCGCCGCCGCCGCCGCCGCTGCTGCCGCTGTGGCAGCGGCGGCTTGGGTGGTCTCTCGTGGTGACGGTGGCGGTGGGGAGCGGGTGCGGCTGAAGCCTGCGCCTCGGACGTGGTGCCCCGGGGAGGCCTTAAAGGGAGGGAGGGAGCGAGGGAGGAAGGGAGGGAGGGTGAGAAATGGGGGGGGAGTGTACTCATGTAAACGCATGCCGTAGTGTCGTTAGATCATTGACGTCGCATTCCTACAACGCCGGGACAAAGCGATATGGATGCGGCCGTGTTTTCGCCGGTCCAGGCCACGGTTCACAACGATGATCAACCAGATAAGCTGGCCGTCATCCTATAGTTTGCTATGCCAAATCAGATATGCTACGGGGTTGACGTGAATTCTCCAGGAGGTGAACGGTCTCGTTGTTTGAAGTGTAGGGTAGGGAAGGTCGATGAAGCCGAACCGCATCGATCGCGTGCTGCGGCAGGGAAAACCTTCAATCTGTTTTTCTTTACAAGTATTGCCGAGGCTCGTTTCATATTTCCGCTGTGGGGTTTCCCGGCATGGTATTAGTCTACGGTAGAATACGATTATGAACTGACCATCTGTTCCGATATGGTCAACTTCTTGAGCGTTCATCTGTTTTGAGCCTGTATTTCTTATTTCTCCTGGCGCGTAGGGTGGCTGGCGCGTGCTGCATGTAGTCCGCGTACAGGCAATGGAGTTGTCGGTAGATGAATGTTAGACAGGCTCTTACGCCTTCCCAAGCAAACAACAACAACAACAACAACAACAACCAGTACCGCCGCCGCCTACACAATAGTGCAAGTATCAACTCTCAGACCGCCTTCGCGAAAAAATACGTTCAGGAGGAAGTAGAACAGGGAGGGGGTACGCAGACCGTATCCCAAACCCCAACCCTAACCCAACTTCCCCGATTTCATGCTTTTAATCCAACATGCTTACTTGAAAGAATGAATCATGCGAAGGCTACTGCAACGCTCACCGAAGGGGAGATGTCCTTGACAGCCCCGCCGTCATCGTCGCCGTCCGAATCGCTACCGTCAACCGGGCCGCTACCACCCCCACCGCCGCCGCCGCCGCCGTCCAACGACAAGTATTGATGCTCACTACCGCGGCGGCGCCGGCTGCCTTGGGCGGGGTCCTCCGTGAACATCACGACCAAGTCCCGAGCGCTATCCGAGAGGTTGCGCACCTGGAGAGACACCTGTGGTGTACAATGTCGGGGTATACTGCTTGGTGCCGCGGAGTGGGTAAGCTAGCGTGAGAAGATGCTGTGGGCATGACATAAGCACACAAACGCACACCAGGAGGATAGATGGATGCAGCACATCACCCACGTTCTCGAAAACAACAAACGTTGTACAGAAAGACCGGCCAGCTAAGGAGCGAGACAGGTTTCGACGCTAAACGAACAGACAAGATGAGACCCAAGCTGCAGGCCAAGCTAAACAGAGAGACAGTGACCAACAAACAACAATCAATGACCACCTCGACGCGCCGGTTGCCCTGCGGCACGCATGGACGCAAAACCAAAGATAAACACACACACAATGCTGTCTGGCAGTATTGAGTATTTTCCCTGTAGTTCAGAAGCATGGCAATGTCGCCCAACTCCTGCGCCCGCCCGTGTCGGTAAAACTCTTTCGGATACAAAGATAGAAAGGATGTTCGTTCGTGTTTCTTATCCCGCTACGAACGCTGACGTCTTTCCATTGGTCAGCTGGCTAGCGCGGTCGATGCCAGTAAAAAAACAAACACACATGGTCAATGCTAATACTAAAGACAAACACACACGTCTTTCCATTGGTCAGCCGGTTAGCGCGGTCGATGCAAACAATAATAAAAAAAAAAAACACACACACACATACCTCGAACACCCGGTTGAGCTTGACCCTCGGCTGCCCCTTCACCCTCACCAGCACCTCGTCGCGCGCCCGCTGCTCCGACTGCCATTGCGCCAGGTGCACCGAGGTTGTCGGCGTCGCCGCCGCCGGCCGCAACCGCGGCAGTCGCAACCCTGCCGAAGGCGAGGCCGACGTCATCGGCGTCGGGGAAGACGATCGCGAGGAGGACGATTGCCGCTGCGCGGCTGAGGAACCAGCAGAAGCAGCAGCGGGGCCTCCTGCCGCCGCGGCCGTTGCGGCGTCGCCGCTGCCTGCGACGGCGGCGGCGGCGGCGCCGCCCTTGGCTAGGGTCCACACGAATGTGACCTGTTATTTAAAGGGGTGTGTAACGGGTTGAATTGGGAAACAACATATCGACGGCATATGTAGGTGTCGCGGGCGAAATTGAGACGAACTAAGAAGTAACAAACACATCGCTACAGCAGTATGTGTTCGAGATAATGTGTGCCTAACAGCGCTCTTGTGTGCCTTTTACAAGAAACACCGACGAGCAAGTAAGCTACAAAACGAGATCAAACACGTTGGCCACATTATCTACGTGCTCCAGAAATTGAATGTGTGCCTCTTATCACAAGAAAGCACCGACGGACGAGCGAGCAAGCAAGCGATCAAGCAAGCAAGCAAGACACACACAACAAGAAAACTCACGGGACTCTCGAAGTGACCGCCCGCCCGCCGAGGGGGCAGCGGCTCCCCCGCAGGAGAGATGGAGACCACGAAGCCCTGCACCTCCCCGGGGGCCAGCTCCAGCGGCAGGGGCGGCTTCGCCACCCAGGAGGCGGAGAACACTCTCGAGAAGCTGCCCGTGGCCGGAGCGCCGCCCCCTCCGAGGCTGCCTGCCCCCGCAAGAGGCGGCTGCTCGATCGACCCGTCCAGCCCCTGTTCGCAAGTATCGGCGTGTTTTGTGGGAGGTTGTTGTTGTTGTTTTTTTTTGTGTCGTCGTTGTCGTTGTTGTTGTTGTTGTTACTTTTGTTTTACTAGATGTTTACGGCACAAAAAAAAAGGCGGGACAAGGGGGCGGAACGGGGAGAAACAGATATATATATATATGTAGAGAGAGAGAGCGAGAGAGAGAGCGAGCGAGCGAGCGGGGGACTTTTTTGTTCAAAGGAACGCTTGGCAACGTCGGTGTCTTGGCAGAAGCATCAGCAGCAGAAGCGACCGCAGTTGTAGTCATTCAAGGGGCGACTCTGACCAGCTCTCGCTGCGACTACGAGACACACCAAACATCAGAGGCGGCGCTACCACCGTCAACAACAAAGAACAACAGCAGCATAGACACCACAACCAACCCCAACAACAGAGACACTGACAACCAAGACCACCGACAAGGGCGCGGGGACCCAACAACTCCCTGCAAACCAACCATGAAGTCTATTATCACAAAAACCGGCCCACCCCCCCTCCAGGCGAGCATTGCCTATAAACCAGCGACAGAATCACGCACGTCAAGAGGAGCGGACGCCCCCCCCACTGGCACTCCTCCCGACATGACTGGCACTCCTCCCGACATCTTCCTCCTTCCGCTGCCCCTCCCCCCGCCGCCGCCGCCGCCGCCGCCTCCCCCGCCCGCCTTCCCCGGGGCAGAAAACCCCCGCGACGACGACCTGTCCCCGCACCGCGCCGTGGCGTCCACGTGGACCTCGACGTCGTGGACGGTGATGGCGGCGGCGGGGTGGTCATTCCGGACCTCGAGGGCCACCAGGCACCGCCCGATGGCCCCGGCGAACGCACCACCGCTAGCAGCAGGAGCAGCAGCGGCAGCAGTAGCAGGCGACGACGTAGAAGGGCAGGACCGGCTGGTGACGGTGATGGGTTGGACCACGCGCAGGGGCAGGAAGCACCGCCGCACGGGGAGCCGCACCGGCGCCACCCTGCTGAGCGCGAACAGGCCGTCGAGACGGGTCGCGAAGTTCCCTCCGATCCCTCTCCTCCGCCCGCCCCCGCCATTGCTGCCGCCGCTATCGCCACCGCCGCCGTCGCCGCCGGCTCCTCCGGCGCCACAAGAGGCGCCTGAGGTGTCCTTGGAGGGAGCGGCGGCAACGCCAGGGGTGTTAACGCACTCGCTCCGTCTCCCCGAAGGTGGGGACACGAGGGCCTCGAGCACCACGTTCTGTCCGAGGGAGTCCACGGGGACTTGCACCTATTGAGGTTGTCGTTGTCGTTGGGATTTCACCGGTGCGTTGGGAAAAAGAGAGGGGGGGTGGAGTAGAGTAGCGGCACAAAGAGGGAGGGGAGAAGTGTCAAGAGACACAAGGGCTTCTGCGGCATGAACGTGAACACGCGTGCATTAGCATGGGTCACCGGCTGCTACGAAACAGCATGCTTATACCCAGTGCGACGAATAGCTCGTTCCCCGGTAGCGCATCGGATCGCAGTCATCGGGAACACGAGCAGCCACATACACTGCTTGTGTGCTCTCGGGGAACACCCTCGATAGTCACGTTCGTAATTCGTAATTCGCAGAGCGCCCGCAGCTCAGGAACAAGAACGCCAAAAACACCGCCGTCAACACCAAGCGATCTGCAAATTTCCTCGTTCCACGGCTGGTGTGGGCGCCACGTCTATATGCCGAAACGCGCGAAGCCGTCGAAGCAGTCTCTGACGGCCTTCTTCGCGAAGAAAGAGCAAGCGGACCTTGCATCCCAACCGTTGACATTACCTTGCAGCGCACCTTTTTCGCCACATAAGAGCAAATCCCCCTGCTCTCACCGCACGCAGAGATCAACAGCCATGACTCCAAAGCCTCATACGTGTCAGCCAACCTACCACAGCAGTACCCAAACTCCGACGAAGACGAGCGTCTGCGCCAATGTCTGAGGAGCCTCATCCCCACCCCCGGCCTGGCCGTACAAATCCCGACAGCGGCGCCCCGTGCCCCGTAAGGACTTACGCACCGTTCCGGCTACGGTCTTACAGCATTGCACGAGTACAAGTCAGTCCCCGCCCTACCCCACCTCCTGCCGGTAGCTCGACCACTCGCCCCGACCAACCGCTGCGCTGTAAGCGCATCGACAACGACGACAAAAACAAACAACACACCCCACCTCCATGTCGAGAGCGTACACCAGCTCTGCGCCCGACTGCAGCGGGGGGGGGGCTTCGGGGCTTAGGCTGACGGTGCGGTTACTGCGGGCCAGCACCCCCCTGTCCCTCGCGTTCTCCCTGCCCTCGTAGTCCCGCCACAGGGAGGGCTCTTCCGACAAGAACGCCGTGCCCGCCGAAGCCACCGCCTCGGTGGTGATCTGTGCGTGGACACGGGGGGGGGGGGGTACTCTTATGTTTTGGATGCCTTAGCGGATAGATCATTGACTACGCGTCCTCGAAAGGACGGAACATTGTTCCCACAGGACGCATCATCGATGGACAATCCTTCCTTCCCACTTTGGCAAAAGGTGACTCAAAAATGTCGTCCCTAGTCTATCTATCCTTCGATATCACTTGTGGGTGGACACGGGGAGAGAAAAAAAGTCCGACGGTTTTCGTTGAATTTTGGCGTGGCTTAGTGGGGGCGGGACGAGGAGAGGATAGAGCGGGAGAAAACGGGGCTGGAACCGTCAGCAACAGCAGCAGTACCGGCGGCGGCCGCACGCAGGCGCTCTTCGAAAGTAGTGCAGGGAGAGGCAAGATAACCGTAGTTTTTCTTGCCAACGCACTTCCAGAGCGCACTTTGCCTTGATGCTACCCGACACGCATGCAGTCGCTTGGATTCACTCCGTTATTCACCTCCAGCTCCACATTTAGCTCGGACCCGAACTGCCGCCAGCGACTTCGCCGGTCCTCGCCATCTGTGGCAACACGACGTCGGTCACCCCACCACGAAGGAGTGCGTACGAAACACATCAGAAATTGTCCCAGTCTAGCTGCCGTGTTGGTTTTTCGCGCGTTGAGACCTAGTGTATATCACGCTCCCCCTATTGCAGAGAAGCGACTCAACTCCTCAGAAACACATTGCGCTGCGAAGAAGGAGCGTAGGTATGTGGTGAAGATGAGCGCCAGAGGCGCTAGCGGACACTGTCCTTTCACGCTCGGTGTACAAGTCCGACCCAGCAATAGCCGCAGTGGCGGCGGCAGACGCGGCCACAGTAGTAGCAGGCCATACTCTCAAAACCCCTTATGCCTGCCGGACAGATACAAGGAAGACCTTTGCAGGCTCTAGTCTAGGCGCCGAGCGAACGAAATCCGCTCGCGCCGGCTGTACTGTTTGCAAGATTTGCATTATAACAGCTCGTAGACTATTGGTATGCATACAAGTTGATCATTTAGTCTACAGACAGACATGCAACGCTCTGTCTTCGGAATAGTATTCATTGCTCCTCTCGCTCACCGGCACTCGCAACATCAAACTTCACCACCAGGAGGCCAGTCAACCGCTCCCCTTGGTAAGCCGTCCGGACCGGCAGCACTCGTCGACGTCCACCGGCAGCAGCAGCAGCAGCAGCGGTGGCGGTAGCAACACTGCCCTCGGGCAGCGCTTGTTGTTGCTGGGGACTTCCGCCAGCACCGCCGCCGCCTGCGCCGCCTCTGGCTGCCGCTGCCGCTGCCGCTGCCGCTCCGCCGCCTGCAACCCTGTGTTCCAGTATCCTCAGCTCGATGGGAGGATCTCGAAACTCGCCCAGAGCCCACTCTGACTTGGGGTCCATACCGCTGGTAGCGCCTTCGGCAAGCCAAGCCTGTTGAACCCCTACTCTCAACGGCGGTGCCCTGCCTGATGTTCTTTGCAGTAACAAGGCGTGGATGCCCCCGGGATGTAATGGGGATTATTGTTGGACCCACCGGCTGTCTCAGATTCCAGTACCCAGCGCGACAAGATCTGCACTTCGTCTTCCTCTCCTCCCACCCTCCAATCGTACCCCTCCCGCTCGCAACACACACCAAGACAAGAGCAGACAAGCCAGCGAGAGCAGGGAGTAAGCTGGCTGTGCGCTGTGCTGTGTGCACAACAAAGGAGGTACGGTGGCTCCGCGGAATCATGGGGTTTCCAGTCTACGAACGTTCTTCAAGGGGTCAAGCGTCATTCTCGGAGTACAGTCAGGTGGTCAGTTCCCGAGACAGCCAAAGCAGGCATCACGGCTGTTGCGCTTGTGTCTGGTGGCGCGGGGTGAGATCGTAGACCCCTGTTGCCGCGTGTGTGGCCCACCGCCCCCGGCAGAGGAGGAGAAGCCATGCTGGCCCACTGCACAACCGCGTTGGTGCTGCTTGGGCTGCCGCTTGGAATACAGGTGACGTTGCTGTTTACGTACGGTTAGCCCGCAGCGCGGGGAGTGCATGTAACGGGACGGCTTACCGCCGTTTCGATGAGAGAGCGTTGACCAGTGCGCAGTCTGGGTTAATCCATGTCCTTTCCTTCAACGGTTTGTCGTTCTCATGAAAAGCTAAGCAGGTTTGACGGTTGCATCAGCTCATCATCCACCGGAAAAACGTTCTCTCTTGGATTCGTAATATACCCATCCTCTACACCCAACCTCTTCATCTTTTACGCAGGGATTTGTGCCGTCACTCGCGAACAACGCTGCTGGTGCCAACAACGGGGCGGCAACGACACCCACGCCTGGTACTACTGCTGCCGCGACTGGTTGCCGGCGGTGGCAGCATGAGCATAGAATAGCAAGTGGATCCTCCTCATGTCGGGCACCGCCGGCCCACGCCCATCGCGCTGCGCCTCGGCCAGCGTCGCCAGCGTCGCTGCCGGAGTACTTCATGGCCCTCTTCGGCGGAAACAAGGGGAGCTCGGCGACGAGAGCCAGCAAGGCGGAGGAGCTGGAGGCGGACCTGCTGTCGGCCATCAAAGGGGTTCAGGGCAGGGGGAGGTATGGTTGGGGGGCTGTGTGTCAGTTGGTGTTCCTACTTAGCCATCAGCTGTACGGTTCAAGCTCATCCCTATGTTCGCACACAGCGAGCCAGACGCACGCCTGTGTGATGGCCAACAAACTACACTTTGCCGTAGGGTCAGTGCTGAGACAAACTGCTGCTTTGTTTGCTCGGTTAATGCGCACCGGTTCTAGACCCACACCGTACCCCACGAAGAGGTGCTGACTATGTACTCTACTACACGACGAAGGTCGCAACAGTCCCCGCCACACTTCCTTCCGTGTGGGCTATTCGTGAGCTCTAGCCCTGGTGTGGGTCGGCGGACTTGGGGTTGCTGCTTGACTGTGTGTAATAGCTTGCAAGAGAGAGGATACGAAGGTGAGAGAATGAGAGAAGGAGGAATGCCCCGAAACTGCGACAGAAAACGGGGACCCCGCGCTATCATCCAAAGCCTTTCACCACATACCGTAAGGATGCGGGTCTCCGCACAGGGGTGTTCGTGTTTTTCAAAGCTTCACCACTCGACAACTAGGAAGGCAACACTGCCGAAAAGGGCGGTTTTGGAATCATCTCATCGAGGTCTTTCCTTAGACGTGTTGTTTGGCCTTCGCACCCTCCTAGTTGCGGAGTAAGAAAGCTTTGAAAAAGGCTAACATCCCTGTGAGGAGACCCGCATCCTTACGGGAAAATCCCAACTAAGTCCTATGTAACGGCTACTTACGACCTATCTTCTTCCACCCACGAACATGGGCATGTGTACGTGCACGCCTCTACGCAACAGAGACGTCACCCAGGAGCAGCGTGAGCTAGTGGACAAGGCCGTGGAGGCCCTGGAGAGCGACGGGGGCGCCCCGAACGCGGCCTCGAGCCCCCTCGTCGACGGAAGCTGGAGGCTGATCTTCACGACCACCCCGGGAACCGCTTCGCCGGTGCAGCGGTCGTTTGTTGGGGTGGATGGCTTCGCTATATACCAGGACATCGACCTCTTCTCGGAGGTGCGAGCTGTCGATTTTGGCCTTCCTTGTTGTCGCTGCTGCTGCTGTGGCCGGGCGGGCTTTGATGTCCACGTGTCTTCACACAGCAGACCCGCGGAGAAATATCTCCGTCTTACGATCCCGCCGCGAATGAGACGCGTATCCGCGTGGCCCGGTCGGCAGTACACTTAGCTTTTGTCGACGATTGTAACGCGGGCCCCCACCCCCCAACGCGTTTCGGCCCGCTACAGGTGCCCCCGACGGTAACCAACGTGGTGGACTTCGGCCCCCGAGTAGGGCAGCTGAGAGTAACCGCTCTCGCCAGCACGCCTTCCAGGCCTATGGAAGGCTTCGTCCCGAGGAAGGGCGACGGGCGTTTTTTCGGCCTAAACATATTGGGGGTTAGCCAAACCACCCCGCCGGAGGTGAGAGATAACAACGTGGTTGCTGTGCGGTTTTCATTTTGGCCCTTGAGAATCCCGTAATTGTTGTTGTTTTTGTTTTGGCGACCTCCCCGAAGGTGTCCAAGGCCTGTGCAAGGCCTGTGCCTGCCTTTTTCCTGATTTGATTGAATGTTGCACGTTGTGTATTCTCCGTTGTTGCAAATGGAATGCTTGCGGTGCATGCATAACCAGAACTATCAACCAGACCCGTGATGTAGATTTACCGGTCAATGTCTGTGATGTGTGTGCCTCGTACGCGAGTAGTACGCTCTTGTGCTTTGGTTGTATGTTGCCGCACGGCACTTACTGTGCTGCGGAGAGGAGCAGCTTGGCAAGCCCTGTGAGCTACGCTTCCCAGCGTGGCCTGAGTGTCGGGGATAATCCTCTGTATAATGCAAGCACGGACAGCCGTAGGTCGGTATGATTGGCATGGTAGAATACTCAGCAGTAGGCAAGAACACGTACTCAGATACAGTACATGTATCCCCTCTTAACTACACAGCAACAGCAGTAGTAGACCATTGGGTATAGCAGCAACTAGACCCGCGCAGACAGCTAGGCTTTGCATTCAGCAGTAGGTTGACTGCCACATCCAGTAGTCAAGGTAGCAGTAAAGTTCTAGCTAGTCATTGCAGCTGTTAGCTAGTGGTAAGTAGCAGCAATCTACGGGATGCGCACACAAGGGACTGTCAGGAAACTGTTAGGTGTAGACCGTTGAGACTGTACGTGCCTTGGAGACCCCAAAAGTTCAGCCGAGACGGAGATCTGGGGGTCATGTAGAATTGTTTTTTTTGTTGTATTATTGTTTTGAGCTGAGCACAATGCGCACTCGCGCCTAGTGCTCACTCCTCAAACAACATCATCCAAGCAAACCTGACCCTGGAGGCAGTCAGTAATAACAAGATCTTTCACATCTCTTCGTTCCGAGACACACCGAGCCGCAGCGGCACCCCAGTGTATACCTCTGCTTGTAGGCTACACAACAGCCTACGGATATAGCTTTGCAGCTACTACTGCTGTCTGCAACCGCATATCCTCGAGACTGAGCGTGTGTGATCAGCGGCTCGCCGTGCTTCTCGCTTAACGCCAACGATAGACTTTACGATACCAGCTGCGGCATCCACAGCAGCAGCAGCAGCAGCAGTACCCACTATCCTGTGATGTGTGTTCGCCAGCGATGCGCCTCTTCTTGCCTTTCTTGGTTCTCCTCGATCAACGATGCTTGTTGCATGATGCACTCATCATCCATCCCCCCTCCTTGTGATGAGTTACAGGACCCCAGCAGGCGTATCGACTTCCAGTTCGATGAAGCCGGCTTCGACTTCGAGGCACTGCCCTTCAACATCCCCTACCCGGTGCCCTTTCGCTTGTTCGGGGACGAGGTGTGTTGGGTGTTTGCTTTTGTTTTGCTGTACTGCCATTGCCACCTGTTTTTCTTGGTTTATTCAAGCGAGCAAGCAATGCCAACGCGACCGGCAAGCTCAACGAACGCCGTTCGCTCTTTTGTTGTCGATGACGCTGAAGTCGTCAGCCGCTGCTCGCAGCAAGCGGCGCTGACGCGCGCCGCCACGTAAGTGCTGAAAGAAGCAGCTTTCGTCGTGTGATTGAAATGACACCAGCCTCGCTGTGATTGTCGTGCGCATGATTCTGCGGTATTTAGTGTACGCGTGCGAGCGTGTGTGTGTTCGTAGCATGCGTGCTGCTTCGAAGTTCTTGAAGGCGTAGAGCGACAGATGTTCTCGCTTTGCGTGTTTTTACCTTTCGTTTTTTCCTTTTTACGGCCATTACCACTCTATCCAGCTGATCAAGAAGTAGCCTCAACGGCAGCGTTGGCCGCTCCACGGGTGTGCGTTGTTTTGTGGGATGCGCGTGTGCCTCCCTGCTTTCACGAAGCGTTTGTGTGTGTTACGCTCAATGTTCACTCATTTGTTTCTTCGCTCGGGCAGGTGAAGGGGTGGATAGACGTCACCTACCTGAGCGAGCGCTTACGGATAGCAAGGGGAAACAAGGGCACCCTCTTCGTGCTCCAGCGGCCACCATCTCCACCACCGCCATAGTCGATGAAACCACCGCCGTAGTTGACTTATGTTGAAAATCGTCATGATTGCTTCTGTCCCCGGCGTTCGGTTGAGTCATCGCACATTCGCGCCCTGGACTCGGTCCCGTGCTCTTTTCAGTGCTTGCTCTTGTTTGGTTTCGAAGCGGGGCATGCGAGTTTCGCTGCATCTAGGCATCTAGATACCTCTTTGTGTGTGTGTGTCTCTCTCTCTCTCACACAGCTTTCGTACGGGAGATCGGCAATGAAAGTTCAGCCGACGCTATTCTGATGTTTTTTTGCAGCATCTGCTGCTGCTGTTGCTGATGTTTTGGGGGGTGAAATGTGGAAGCGCCGGGGGGTTGAGCATGATCAAGTCTCGAGGGTTCACCAGGCATGATCATTGCAAAATGTTGAAAATATTTGCTCTTCTAGACTTGTGCTTCAGATTGGGCAACAGTGGTGGCAACGACCATGTAGTTGCGTTGTTATGGTCTGTGTGGGAACAGTGTTGTCGACATAGCAACAACCACGGGTGGTGGCTTGCTTGGTCACCATGCAGAGAAAACAGGCGATCTGGACCGAATACAGCCTTCGAATAAGAGGTACTTCGATGTACGAATATACGACCCCTCATGATGGAGATGGTTCAAAATACACGAACTTAACCCGTAAGAACAGGCGTTCATCGTACTAAAACAAAACGCTATGAATGTAATCTGTGCAGTCAACGTCGGATGATAGACTACCTCTCGAGAGAAAAGAAGCAACGAAACCTCTCGAGAGCAGGTGGGTCTGTTAGACTATGTCTTGGTCATTGTTCTAGGGTGTATTCTTTCTCCCCGATATTTTGCCGTTGACCCAGTAGAGAACTACAGGGGATGTATTGTAAAATGTAAGTTACCTATACAGATGTTTTTGTACTTAGCACCAGCTGGCATCACTGGTATAAATCATCAGTGTATAGACTTAAAAAGACTCGAAATAAGTCCAGTACCCAGCCGGTTTCCCTCCACTCACTGAAAAGACTCCACCACATCCCGTTCGACTGTGGGTATATCTCGAATCGGTAGTCTTTCTGTGTGTGTTTTTATTATTACTTAATTGTTCTAGGGTGTATTCTCTACAAGGTCCTGTGCGTTTCGAGACACGGTCGCATTTGAATGGCCCGGGTTTACGTTTCCATGCACTCAGGATTGATGGGACACACAAACGAGAGGTGGAGAAATCAAAAGTACCAAATACAAGCGGTCTACTACAATGCTGTATGCATACAACCGCTGTGTGTAAATAACAACGAGAAAAAAAAAAACTCATTGTGAACTATTGGGGGGTTCCGATAAATCGTACCCACCCAGACATCATAGCCGCCCCCCCCCCGCCAGCTGTGCGAGCCAGCTGAGAGCTCAACAGCAGTCTGTCTCTGTGTGTGCATATCACAGCTAGCACACCGTCCAGACGCACACTTGGTCGCGTATTCGACAATCGACACCGGTGAGCTGGCATTTGTTCGTGCTGCGGTAAATGTGCTGTAGATTTTCAGCGGCAAAGGCTCCGATTCTCCAACTTGCACCCCAACCGGGTTCCGACTCGAAAGTTCACTACATGTACTGCTGTGCCTGCAATGATTGAAGTTCGTTATGAGCAGGCACCTTGGCTTGTGCTGCCGATGCCTCTCGAGCGGCGTATGGGGGACGATTTCATCGGCTACGTTTCTGATCGGGAGCCGGCGAGACAATTGCTGCAGTCTGGCCTCTCTTTGTTGTCGAATTTCGAAGTGCTGTACACATGGAAGAGAAGAAGACGTGATGGCATACACGCGCAGCAGCAAGCATCAACTTGGACACCTCGGGTGTACGCGCGCCGCTTCCCGCACCCGCTGCGCTATGTGTTTGTTTGTATCCAATGCCCTCCTCCGCTGCCCTCAACAACGTTCGTCACGGGGAACAGCAGCGCTAACCGGCCAGACCAAGGCAACTCGGCGCGCTGAACACGACCCTGTGAAAGCATGATCCAAAGAGTAGCCCGAGCTGCCGCAACACGCGGGTGGGCGGCGGCCGCAACGACGTCAGTGGGAGCCAGCAGCGGCAGCAGCCGGCGCGCGTTCTCGGACAACGTGACGTACTCTGGGGGCCAAGCGGGCGTGCAGGGGGGCTTCTACGGGGCAGGCGGGGCTCGCTCCCAGGCTTCTCCTCAGTGAGTGACCAGACTATACCAGCAGCGACCCGCAATGTCCTGCGAGCAGCAAGGTTCAGTAGATCTGAAGGTTCAGCGTCGAGTCTTTTCTTCGTCAAGAAGACTTGCTGTCTGCGAAGGGTTGCGGCGTAAGACGCCTCCTCTAGTTGCTTGTCGCACTTGAGCAACGATCTACCTCTATATTGATTGTTCTGTATGTCCAAACATCTCCGGCCGCCCTTTTTACACCACCGACCAAGCACCACTTTTTGCCGAAGCTGTTTTTCCGCAAGGACGATGAGACGCTCAGTTCGGCGCAACGCTGCTTTCCCAGGACCCCTCTCGATTCAAGGTTCCCCTCCCGGGGGTACAGCACGTAACATGGCCTGGGCAAAACAACCGTAAAGCATGTCTGATTGGGGTTGGCTTTTGGGGAACTGGAAGCCCTAACGCGTCCGCAAGGTCCAAGGCGCGGCGGTTGTGAAGAGTAATTAGGCGCTTTCTGAAATTTCGAATTTTCCGCCGAGGTGCAAGGTGAACCAACTATGGAACAACAAGTGTGATCTCTCCCGGAGTAGGCTCAGGAGGGCACAGCAGGGCCATCAAGGGGTGATGCAAGATGGCAACAAAACCAGGCAGCAGGACCAGCCCGCAGCCTGCTGCCAGCTGCCAGTTACTTGGTCGTGGCGTTTCCCAAGCTCAACAGCTCACACAGCTGGCGCGGTTTTTTTCCTGGGACAGCCCAGCGAACCTCAACGAAAGAAATATGTAGAAAGCTCTGTATACAGCAGCCTTATGGCGGCCCTTCTGCAATTGCTCTTTCGAAGATACGAAAATGCTGGCCCTGTAAGAGCCTTCCGGTGAGCAAACCTGGAATTATTTGTGGCGCTTGGGTAAGAGTCCACTTGCAAGTTTTGCCGTTGTAGTCTCCCTTGTTGGGAAGAAGATTTTTGGTTTGTTTACGGAGCTCTCTCTACGACCAAGATTCGTTTGACTACAAATGTACTTTTTTTTTTTTTTGTCTCCTCTTCCAAGGTTGTGAATTCACTCACGAGACACGTACTGTTTTTTCCCGGCTGCCTACGCGGTTGTGGTGGCGGTTTGGTTGCGCAGGGCGCACCACAGGCCAGAGGCCATCGCCGCCGTCGACGACATCCGGCGCCTTCGTGAGGCCATGCAGCACGTGAGCGAGATGGAGATCGAGCTCGGCCGCCTGGGAGACAAGGTGTCGGGCAGGTCCATCGAGCTCAAGAGCGCTATCAAGAAGCGGCTGTCGTCGCCCACCATGCTTGAGGTACGAACGGGGGGGGGGGGGGGGGGGGGGGGG